CTTGACCTCGTGATCCACCCGCCTCGGCCTCCCACAGTGCTGGGATTACAGGCTTGAGCCACCGTGCCCGGCCTGGATTCTTATATATATATTTTTAATTTTAGGAAGTGTGTAAAGCATTACTATGGTTCAGAGGCAAAGCTGTATAAAAAGAGCTATTATACGAAGTTTCTTTCCATCTATCTCACAACCCCACCCCCACATCTCATACCTGCTTTGTTATTTTTTACCAACTTAAGTTACAGTCTTTTGCGGTGTCTGGTTTATGCTTCTCCTATTACTTATGCACAGATGAGCAGATTAATATGTATTTTATTATATTTTCTTTTGCTTTTTATGAAGGGTGGTAGCACATCATATAAACTATTTGCCCTTTGCTTTTGTTTCACTTAATGATTTGAAAATTATTCCAGATTAATTCCTAGTGATCTTCCTTATTTACATTTTTAGAGCTGCATAGTATTATTCAGTTGTGTGGATATATCATAGTTTATTCAGTCACTCTCCTATATATGGATATTTATGCTATTACCATTATTTTGCAACCACAATTAGTGTTCCAATAAATAAACTTGTATATATTCAAGTAATTTTGTACTATTAGAGGTATATTGTCAGAGTAGATTCCTAGAAATGGAATTTCTTGGTCAAAATTAAGTGCATGTGTGCTTAAGTCTTTTAATCACTCTGTCTATCATCTGTATGCCTATGGAATGACTGTTAGGGGGTTAATGTGTATACTTCATCAGCACACAAGTTACTGAACTACAGCTCTTAATTTGTGTACCTTTTTTAAAATTTAACTTTTTTCATTAGTTGCACTTAGCACATTAAAAAGTATATTAAAATTGCATTGGAGTTAGGAATTAGTCTTGCATAATTTATTCCTTTTCAAGGTTCAATACATACCATTGTAATATGTCAACAGCCTCTAATGAAGGTAGTAATCATACATTACATTTACAGCCCTATCAGCCCAGGTGCAGACTAGAAGTTTATGATCACTGATAGAGAGTAGGCAGTTCAAGAACTCTAGCAGTGACATAATGACTAAGTATTTATATAATGCTATCATTTACCCAGAGTTTATTTTTCAAAATTCTTTCAAGTCTTTTCATTTTATAGCAACTACACAACTGTAGGGTGGATTAGGGAAATAACAAATAAATCATGAAATTTATGTAGTACAAAGTCCTTTACATCTATTATCTCACTTGAACCACAAAACAACCTCATGAATTAGACAGGACATACAATCTACATCCCTATTGTTCAGGTAAGGAAGCTGAGACTCAGAAAAGTTAAATGTGATCTCGATGTCAAACATCTACTAGGTAGTAAGCCTAGAACCAAACATGAGACTAGATCACACAACAGGTTTCATAGCTAGCTTATGAAACAACAATGAAAAACTGTCCAAGGACATGATATAGTCAAAGAGAAGCAAATCACTTGCGTATATTTTGGAATCAAAAGTGGTAAAGAGAAATCTGTTCTCACCATGTGCAGGCTTTCCTCCCACCCTAGGTGCTGCTGCTGTAACAGAATGAGCACTGGCCTTGGAGCCAGACAACCTCAGTTTGCACCCTGGTTCTGCCACTTTATTCGATTTTTGGGCCTTGGTGAACTATTGAAACTCTGTTTTCTTCCTTCTGAAATGGGTATTTTTCTGCAGAGCTGTTGGAAGAATTAAGAGTAAATTCATCAGAGAGACCCTCCCTGACACCCCCAGCTAAGTGTTCTCTCCTGCAGTGCTCAGTCCATTTCCTTTAGAGCACTTGTCACAATTTAGAGCTATGTTTACTTTTATGTTTATTTGTTTCACATCTGCCTCTTCTGCTAGACTATAAACATCATGACATCAAGGACTCTGCTTGGTTTTGTCACTCTGTGTGTCTTGTACCTGCCCCAGTGCCATTCGTCACTGAATAAATCTTTGAAATGAGTCTTCCCACTTTCTTGTACTTGTTTTTACTTCAGCCACATAGAATACCTGCAGCCCACTTGTCCTTTCTCCTCTCTTACTTTCACACAAGCTGTTTACTTTGCCCAGCATACGTATCCTTGCTTCTTTGTTTATCTGGAAAATCCATACTCATCCTTCAAGACTTAACTCAGCTGAGGGTTTCTGATGTATCCCTGTTTCCCTGAAGCGTGAGGGAGATTTTACGCCCCTTTAGCTTGCCTCTGTTGTAGTGGTTGCTGTATTCAATAAATATTTTTAAGAGCCTGCTCTGTACCAGGCATGTGCTAGATGCTGGGCATACCGCAGCAAACAGGAGCTATCGCTCTAATAAGGGAATGGGCCACAAAGGAATAAACAAATAAAAATGCAATAAAATAAATAAATGGAAAAAAAAAGAAATAAACAAATAACAATATTCCCAATAGCAATAAATGATAGGGTGATCAGTTCTGAGAAGTTGACCTTTGACCTAAGATCTGAAAGGTAAGGAGTTGGGAAAGGGAAGAAATGGACGGTGAGCCTTGGATTGTGACTGTTTACTGGGCTGTTCCTCATTTCTACCCTACCTCCCACCCACCCTGCACCTCCACTCAACTGGCCTCTGAGCTCCATGAATCTTGTATTCCAAGTAGCCAGCACAGGCCCAGTATGTCACACTGCAGTTCCACCACTGGTGGCATAACCTGTGAGAACTGCCAGGTGCCTTGCCCCATGATTCTGCTGGGAGCTGGATTCCAACTTAAAATCTACTCCCCCACTTACTGTCTTGTGACACTAGGAAAGCTATTCAACCTCTTTATAACAATCTGTTTCCTGATTATTAAAGTGAATATAACAATAAGACTTAATAGGGTTGCAGTTAGTAATAAATCAGATAATGCACCTGAAATTCTTAGCCAAGAGCCTGGCACATGGAATATAGTCAATAAATGTTGGCAGAAATACTCCAGAGTTCACAAGTTGTTTATTAAGTAAATGAATGAGCTAAGAAATAATAAAGTTCCATTCTTACTTCAGTAACTAATACTAGGTCCAAAGAAAAGCTGAATACCCTAATTTGTCTTCAGTTGCCTTCTTTATTGTGTATTTTAGTTTCTATAAAAAGAAAGCAACAAAGAAAGAGAGAAGGAAGGAAGGAAGGAAGGAAGGAAGGAAGGGAGGGAGGGGAAAAAGAAAAGAAAGAAAAGGTAGAAAGAAAGAGAAAGAAAGAAAGAAAGAAAAAGGAAAACATCAAAAATCAGTGATTTTACCACCCAGAGTCGATAGCTATTGACTCTTCATCTGCTTATAAAGCAGGCTCTGATAGTCTAGGGCTTTTCTGGGTAGTACAAGCCCTTTGTGTTCTAGCCTCAGACCTCAATAAAACAACTGCACAAAATCTACCAACCTCAGGCCATCCTGCAACTGGTGCTTTGTCATCTTTGGAGATGACACTTTGTATTAAAAGGCATTTATTTTATGCATCCCCTACTTCACTTTTCATAGCAGATCTCAGGATATCATAATCAATGAAAGTTATGATGATACCAGAAAGAACAATTTTCTTAGGTCAGAGACACCAATGGTATTAACCTGGGATGTTGCTCCTGCTACGCAAAAATAGTATTCAGATCATTTCTGCAAAACTTTAGTAGCTGGCAAATCCCCAAACCCCTTGGAAAACTTTAAATATCAAAACAGCATGCACAAAGATGAAAACATTAACAAACTGGTACCTAAAGAATTTTTTAAAAATTATCTTTCCATTTCTCTCTACTGTATTTTCACTGGAAAACACCGAGATCATGATTGCTGTTTTTATAAACATTAAATATCTGGCTACTTGGGAGTGCTTTGATACTGGAATGTACGGACACGGGTTTTCTAGGAAAAAAAAAATAAAATAAAATACTGAGGTAATTAGCAAAGAGAGATTTTTGCCAAGTAGTCTCTTCTGTGAGCTGTAGGAGTAAACATTTGTTAGCATGAGTACTTCACTCTAAATTATCCGTCTAGCCAACACATTTTGGGAGGTAGCATTCACCTTTATTGTAACAGAAATCAACTTATGCTATCTTAGAAAGAGCAAATTATCAGAAAGCCATTTCTCTTTTGTTTTTGAGATTTGTCACATCGTTTTCAGGGTTTTGATTCACAAACTAATGCACCATAAACTGGTGCTGGAGGTACTGAAATCTGTTTTTCTGCTTCATAGATATAGAGGCAGGCATGTTTATCAAAGTCGGTAGAAAAGAGCGACATTCACCAATTGGTCACTCTGATGGGGTGATAGGTTATGGGGCTTTGCAGTGATTAGTAATGCACATCATAAAATATGGGATAAGTGTCTGCACTTTGGTGGTGGTACAATGCTAAGCAGCTGAGAAGATTCCAGATACTCTCATAGTTTACAGACAACAGGCTGTATTTTATATGTTAATAGAAGAAAGACTTCTGATAGGATGAGGAAATTCACCATAACAAATGCATTCTCTTTACTGTATTCTAGCATGGCACCAATTAAATTCAGCCATATGTATGATGTACTCTTAATTCCTAGCAGTCCCAAGAAGGACAATTTTACAGGTCATAAGCAGATGGAAAAAATTATGCCAATTGTTAAAGACGTTCACATGCAGTATAACACACCTCGAAATGGTGTTTGCATGGGTTTTTCTTTAAAAAAAATTTAAAGTTATCTTGGGTAAAATTTAGTTAGTTCTTGGGTTTTTTTTAATGTTATATGTGTAATCCATTTTAATTTATTCCTTCTGCAGAGCTGAATGAAAGTACAGGTAACCTTGTAATGAATAAAACTGATAAAAGGTTATGTCCAATGAAAGGGAAATTATAGAATGATTATTCACTTTGCAAAAGGGTTTGTCATAGGGAAGCTTTCCTAAAGCATTTCAAATTGAATTTAGTTTATAAAACATTCATTTACACACAAAATTTCAGGAACAAATTTAGTGAGGAAATGAGATAAATGGTCATAATAAGATAGAGATCCTGTACACTGCTAACGTTCATGCTTTCTCTCTGCTCCTTCTTGCAGCACTGATAGCCATTGGGCGGTACAGCATGACAATAGAGACTGTGGATGTTGGATGGTGTAAAGAAATTACAGATCAAGGAGCCACCCTGATTGCACAGAGCAGCAAGTCTCTGAGATATTTGGGGCTGATGAGATGTGATAAAGTAAGAGTTGTCTATCAAGTTGTTTGTTTACATATCAGTATAGTTAATACCTTGATGTAATATCCTCTCTTCTTCTCTATCCCTACCCCCCATATATCATATATTATATATACCTCTCTCTATATATAAATAATTATAGCTATGCATTGTTTGCCTGCTTTCATAAACTAAACTGAGATTATCTTTGCATTTCCCCCAGTTAATAATGAATTTTGTGCTTAAGTAGAAAGAAAAAATAATCATACACTACACAGTCTGCTTAGAGTTTGCCATCCTATTTACAAGTCCATAGACCAAAATATAAAAGGTTACATGACAAACTGCAATTTGCAGGATCGAACCATAAAATTCTATTCTGGATTCCAAGTTTCCAGTAATAGTAAAGGTGGAAAGAACAGTACCAAATTGTTTCTTCACAGGTGTATAATTTCAGTACTCAACATTTATGTATTCTGGCCATTTCGGACCAAGAAAGGGCCGGTGAGGGGGTATGTGGGAACCTGCATCTCCCCATACATCAGATGCCACTCCTAGCACGTGATAAAAAATGGTTCCCGAGGTCCTGGCAGAAGGCTTGTGGAGCCAGCCAGGGATGTGAGCGTGAGTTTAGGAAGTGGTGCAGCATTTAACATGGGACCCTTTGAAGACTGAGAAAAGAGATAATCAAAATCTATATACTGACACCTGTAATCCTAGCACTTTGGGAGGCAAAGGCGGAAGAATCATTTGAGCCCAAGAGTTTGAGACTAGCTTGAGCAACATGGCAAAATCTTGTCTCTACCAAAAAAAAAAAGAAAAAAAAAAATTCCAGGCATAGTGGCACATGCCTGTAGTCTCAGCTACTTGGGAAGTAGCTTTCAGTTTTATTGATTTGCTTTCAGTGACCTTCTATCAGTCTGTGTTGAGCCTAAGTAGTTGAAACTCCTGATGCAAGTAGTACAGATGTATTTAGGAGAGGCAATTCCAAGGGGTTGAGGGGGAAAATGCCTGTTGGGGGTCAATGTCCCCCTAATGCTGGGGTTGGGGCTAGGCTAGAGTGGTAGAATACCCAGAAGAAATCAGCAAAGAAGAATACTTCTGACATAATAAATAAGATTATTCCATGTCGGAGCTCACCTGAGCTCAGTAGGCCGAGGTTACAGTGAGCCATAATTGTGCCACTCCACTCCACCCTGGTGATAGAGCGAGACCCTGTCTCAAAACAAATCAAAACAAAAAACGATACTGGACATCAGGCACTCAACAGGTGTTTTCTTCTTTGTTCCATGTTTTCCCTATAACACATCTAAGAAATAGTTATTTGCATTGTGAAGGGGAGAAAACAGAGGCTCAGAAAGAACAGTCAGTGGCCCAGGGATACTCTGGCAAGACTTGACACCAGGCTTTTGGAGTATGTGTCCAGTGCTGCTGCACAACCCTGGGGCAGTCTCCGGCCATGGGGACTGCTTCCTTAGCAAAGGTCCAGCTCAGACACTGGCTCAGAAAGTGCCATCATCTGGTACCAATTTACACATGTGTGCTACTTTTGTGAATGGTGATTAGGGACAAATCTAGCAAAATAGCGTGAAACTAAATAGACCTGCCATTCAAAGGGCATGCATTTTCTAAATGTAGCAAATCTGGGGGCAAATGAACTATGGCCCAAAGCCCTTGTGTCCTTTGTCCTTTTTTGTTAATTGACTAATTATTTTATCCAAACACTTTAGAATCCCAAATTTTACTAGACCTTTGCCAGTTAGTTATGTTTAGAGGAATGTTATTGCATATTCTCATCCCAGCCCGGAATCGACTTACTGTATTTTGTAACTAAGCAACAGCACTGAGACTCAGGGGTTGAAAGTCTCCCACGAATCTTTTTACTAACCAACCCAATGCTGCTGCTAACCTTGCCACTTTAAAGTGACTCCTGTTAAGACAAATTAAAGGGTCCACCATCAGCAGAGTGCTCTAGAAGCAGGAAACAATGTCAGCAGAGCTCCTCAGTTTCCAGCAGAAGGAACTGCCATGAGTGCGTCTAACTAAAGCTACCAGAATGTAACCACTCATGCGTATGTGTCCACGACCATTCTCAGAAATTGCCATATTTCTAATCTGTCATCTTTAGATTTGTTAAGATCAGCTCCATCTTCAGAGATACACTGTAGAAGTTGTATCTTAACAGTTACTACAGGAGAATATTATTCCAGACTTATTTGCTGACCAGCATTTTGCTGATTGTAAGTTAAGAAATGGGTTATTTTCTACCCAAATGCAAATTAGTCCAAAATTAAATATACACACTGTTCCGATTAGCTGTATCCCTGAGGGTTTTAGCCCTTTCCCTGGGCCGCCTCTGAATCCTTTTTCTAACCAGAGAGCCACCCTGAGAGCCCACTGGCTCCAGCACAACGCCGTCTGGTCAGAGCCTGTGCAGCGCAGCCCAGGGAGATGCTGGACCCAGCCATGCTGTCTGGCTTCTTCAGACTTAAGGCAGCTCGGAGCCAAACACGAGAAGCTCTGTGAGGATAGAAGACAGTTCCAAACCACACACAAAGCACAAGTAAAGCCTTGCACAGAAAAGCTTGCTTCTTGGTTTAGTTGGATGGAAATCTAAAGTAGCTATTCAGTTTTCAGATTTTGTAGCATGCCATCCATCTCCAGATTTTAAGTTACCATCAAGATTCAAAGGAAGATTTGAGTAGCAAAGAAAAGAAATTCATAGCAAGGGTATGGTCTGCGGAGCCTGAGTTCAGGTACAGATCTGGGGTCTGCACTTACTAGTTATATCATCTTGTGCAGTTACTAACCTCTCAGTGCCTGTTTCCTTGTTTGCAAAATGAGGTTGATATTAGTACCTATCTTGTAGAAATGTGAACATTTAAATGAGTTAACGTATGTAAAGCACTTAGAATAATGTCTATTATTTATATAATGCTCTGTTACTGATTATTCTGATATCATCAATGTTATTATATTAACCTGTGATCATACTGGAATTTCCCAATGAGAAAAAATTATATTACCTGCTATCCCCTTTTGAAAGAAAATTAAAAAGAAAGGGAAAAAAATAAACTCAGAGAATGTTTTGCCTTCATGCTTTTTCCTCACTTAAATTTAAAATTAAGATTATTTTTTTATACAAAGATGTTAGTAATTACACTTTCTATATACTTTGCAATGGAAAACTAATGCCTCCGTAGGACGCTCAGTATTTGGAATCAATTTGTTAACCATCTACTCCAACACAGGGATGCAGAAAGATTTGCAGTGGGAGAAAAGGGTGAGTTGAAGATAAGACAGTTCCAGTAGATAGGGAAACAGAAAGTAACAAGAAAAATAAAGGTGAAAAATAAGATTAGAAACAGGAAACAGAGAAAAACTAAGATTAGGGAATGGAGAAAAAAATACACTGTCTCTTGCAGTCTGTGATCATCTGTGCCAGCAAAGCATTAAAGAACAAAATTAATTTGGGGCTATAACTTTGTTCCCTACCTTAACCAAATCTGCTAATCACTAATAAAACTCATTAGAGTTCTCCTCTGTGTTTCTGCACATCAATCGGAGCCAATGGAGGAGGGAGGGAACCTCAGCATCTACTCAATAAACCCCTCGGTTAGGAATGGTGTCAGTAAGATCCCTGCACTGGAGAGAGATGGAGTTTGTGAAGTCTGTGTGTCCTTGTGCTGGCATTCCGTGATCCTGTGGTTCTGAGAAAGAACATTCTAGTTGCATGTTCTTTCACATTCTGTCAGTTTTACTGAGGGCAACTTATATTTAATTTGGAGGCTATACTTTACCAAACTGAAGCTTTTTTCCTCATTTCAGCTTTTGAGGAATTGCAAGAATAACAAAATGCAATGTATTTGTTGTAGGAAAACAATGTTTCCTTCACCACCCCCAACCAACGTCTCTCTTGGTAGGTTAGCAGAGAACAAATGAGAAATGTTAAACATATTCGTTGCAGATGAAAGCAACATGCACTCGGATTGTTAAACAAGGGCTAAGCTAAACTGCAGTAAATATGTTTGGCTACAATATTGGCGATTCCTAGGGAGGAGTCCTCCAGTCCTTCAACAATGCAGCATTCCCCATGCAGTTGTAAAGTCAGGAAGTGCATTAAGAAGCCCCTGTTTGAGTAGCTTTTCTGATTGCTGGATGGATAAGCATGTTAGAGGGTTTTGAAGCTGACGCCACTTAATCTCCTAAACTTTAGTGCATTGTAAGAACCAAGAGAAGAAAACGCTGTGTGAGACGGCTTTGATGAATTGGGGTGAGCTTATATTCTTAAACACTGTTCAAAGGCTTACTTGACCTTGGGAATTAGAGTTGACCCGAAATCACCTATCAACTTAACTCACATTTATTTGGTGATTTAGTTAAAAATACTTGTGTAATCAACAGGAGTCTCTAATAAGAGCAGTATGTTTACTCTATTTTCCACAATTATAGACAGTTGCTTTGGTCATAGAGATTGTTTTTGTGAGTTCAGTGAATTCTAGATTCTTTATAGATCTGTTCTTATTATTCTACGATATTTTCTTCATTACTTACACGGCAGTTTGGATAGAGAACAAACCTAAAAAGGACCAAGAAAATCATGGGAAAGCTGGAGGGCAAATGGAAATGCAGGGTTCAAGGTTAATGAAAAATGTTTGGGGTGACAAGGTTGATGAGAAGGGAGGAGGCACCGTGGCCTGGCACTGGTGGAGAAACCAGCCCTCACCAGAGGCAGCTTGGCTAGTTTGCGAGACCTCGGTGATAAAATTTCATGGTGGAAACCTCTGCAGTGTGTGTTAATACAGGAGTTTGGAGACGCAGGCCTAAATTATGAGCAGTGAATAACATCATAAACGTAGCAATTCTCAAATGCCAAACCCTTGTGAAAAGCAGTTGGATGGAGAAATGCTGGAGCTTTTAAAAGCTCCCTTTCACTTTCTATTTTTTTTTAACTTCATGCAGAACTAATTTTATACACTGTTCATTTGATTTGAAAATGCCAGCGTCTGGGGTATCATTAAAGA